ATATTACTCTAGTACCAAAACCTGAGAAAGACCCAACTATAAAAGAGAACTATAGACCAATCTCCCTAATGAACACAGATGCAAAAATCCTCAATAAAATATTGGCAAATAGGATCCAGCAAATCATCAAGAAGATTATACACCATGACCAAGTGGGATTCATCCCAGGAATGCAAGGATGGTTCAACATACGCAAATCAATAAATGTAATCCACCATATCAATAAAGCCAAAAATAAGAATCACATGATCATCTCTATAGATGCAGAAAAAGCCTTCGATAAGGTCCAACACTTATTCATGATAAGAACTTTACAGAAAATTGGAATAAATGGTCTTTACCTCAATATAATAAAGGCCATTTATGACAAACCAACAGCCAGCATCATACTAAATGGCCAAAAATTGAAAGCCTTTACTTTAAAATCGGGTACAAGACAAGGATGTCCTTTATCACCACTCCTATTTAATATAGTACTGGAAGTACTAGCCAGAGCAATTAGGCAAGAAAGAGAAATAAAAGGGGTAAAGATAGGAAAAGAAGAAGTTAAATTATCATTGTTTGCAGATGACATGATACTCTACATAGAAGACCCCCTAAACTCCATTGAAATACTCTTAGATACAATAAATAAATTCAGTAATGTGGCTGGATACAAAATCAATACTCAGAAATTAATAGCATTCCTACACAAGAAAAACAAAATTACAGAGAGGGAAATAAGAGAAACTGGACTATTCACATTAGCAAGCAAAAAAATGAAATATTTAGGAATTACTCTTACGAAAGAAGTGAAAGACTTATACAGTGAAAATTACAATACACTGAAAAAGGAAATTGAAGATGATCTCAGAAAATGGAAAGACATCCCTTGCTCATGGATAGGAAGAACAAACATTGTGAAAATGGCCATTCTCCCAAAACTGTTATGCAGATTCAATGCAATCCCAATAGAAATACCATCAACATACCTTATAGATCTAGAGAAATCACTCCTAAATTCCATCTGGAACCAGAAGAGACCTAGAATCGCAAAGGCAATTCTAAGCAGCAAAGACAAAGCAGGAGGCATCGCAATCCCTGACTTGAAGTTATACTACAAAGCAACAGTAGTAAAATCAACATGGTATTGGAATCAAAACAGAGCCGAAGATCAGTGGAATAGATTAGAAGATACAACCACAACTACGAACACACTCAACCACCTTATTTTTGATAAAGGAGCCAAGCAGGTTCACTGGAAGAACGACAGTCTCTTTAATAAATGGTGCTGGAAAAACTGGCTCTCCATTTGCCGAAAACTAAAGCTAGACCCATGTCTATCACCATGTACTAAATTAAAATCTAAATGGGTAAAAGATCTGAATATTAAAACAGAAACACTAAATCTATTGGAAGACAAAATAGGTAGAAACCTTGGAGACATAGGAGTAGGTAAAGAATTCATGAACAGGACTCAAACCGCACGGGAAATACTTCCCAGAATCAATAACTGGGACCACTTCTTATTAAAAAGTTTCTGCATGTCAAAAGAAATCTCCAGCATAGTGAAAAGAAAACCCACAAACTGGGAAAAGGTTTTAGTGAACTCTCTCTCAGACAAGGGCCTCTTGTCTAAAACATATAAAAAATTAAAGAAACTCAGACCTCCGAAATTCAAAGATCCAATCCAAAAATGGGCATCTGAGATGAATACGCACTTCTCAGATGAAAAAATACAAATGGCAAATAAATACATGAAAAAATGCTCATCATCATTGATCATTAGAGAAATGCAAATTAAAACCACACTGAGATACCATCTCACTCCTGAAAGAATGGCCAGGATCAAAAAAACCGACAACAAATGCTGGAGAGGCTGTGGGGAAAAAGGAACTCTCCTGCACTGCTGGTGGGAGTGTAGACTGGTACAGCCTTTGTGGAGATCTGTCTGGAGATTTCTCAAAAAGTTGGGACTGGAAATCCCATTTATTCCAGCTATTCTACTTCTAGGCATATTCCCAGAAGAACTGAAAGCATCATACCACAGTGATATATGTGCACCTATGTTTATAGCAGCACAACTTGTAATCGCCAGATCTTGGAAACAACCCAAGTGCCCATCAACTGAGGAATGGATAAAAAAGTTGTGGTATTTCTATACAATGGAGTATTATTCAGCTATAAAGAAGGATCACATTGAGATATTTATCAATAAATGGGCGCAGCTTGAGACCATACTCATTAGTGAAATAAATCAATCTCGCATGTGTGAATACCGAATAGTTTCCCTAATGTAAATAATGATTCAAATATATAAAAATATGTGGTAATCATGATTCCCCATTAGGTGGCCTTGAAGCCTTATAAAGTTTTCACTCATTAATTAGAAAGGCTTTATTCTGGGCTTCTTGATATGAAAATATTTGAAGCTAGAGTATATGAAGTTTTATCCAATAATTTCAAGGAAAAAGACACTATGGTAACTACTATTAAGTCAGGTTATAAGGTGGTGAAGTACTAGGTTGTTGAAACAGTCATGCTGTGACCTCTATTGTTATATTGTTATGTCCTGTTTTATCTCAATCTCCCCCTTATTGTTTCAAAAAAAATTATTTAGTCATTTCTTATGTTTGTCTTAATTAAAGAAAAAATTCAAAAAAATTAGGATATATAAATAGTAACTCTTTTCGATTTCCTATTAACTTGTTTTGAAGTCCTGTAGTACTCCCACGATCTTGTTTTGACTGATTAGACTCTGTTCCATTCTATATGATAGTATCAAGTTTGAAGACATAGGCAACTACTTTGAAGACAATAAGATTCACTAAGATACCCATTCTGGTTTGACTATTGTCTTCTTTGGAAGTCCTGTAATGTTTACAATGCCTAAGTTTTATTGGTCTTGTTCTCTACTGTTTTGTCCAACTTTATAATATCTAATAAGATAGACAATTCTTTTTACGGAAACAAGGGACAACGTTGATAACCATTGTTGATAAACTTGTACTCTGTTCTACACCATGTGCTATGTCTATCCTTGGTATTGACTGACAGCTTTGTTTTGCCATATTTGACTGTATTCTTCCCCCCCCCCCCCAAAGAAAGTAATAAGCACTAAGGAGTAATAAAATCCAAGATGTGTAAATTTTGTTGTAAAAAAGAGAGGGAAAAAAAAAAGAAAAAGAGCTCTAACGGATATAACAGCAAGTGTGTTTGGGGGTGTTAAATAGCTGACTTTATCAATGTTTTTGGAACATTGAACACAGCTGTTTGCAGTCTCCCTGTTTGAATGTCCACCTTGTGTTCTTTGATACTGCGATTTGAGGAACTATTTTCAAGAAGATAGTGTGTAATCTACTAGCAGGTAATTTCTTACTGTTATGTTTTTTTGTTTTGTTTTGTTTTGTAGTTCTGTATTGCGTGTACCCTTACGCCGCTTTGGTTTGTTTTGTGTTTTTCTCTTTTTCCTCTTAAATAAAAAAAAAAAAAGAAATGAGGAGCAAAGGAGAAGAAAAAAAGATACATCAAAGAATGCTGGGTATTGGTCCATCTAGGTGGGAAATTATAAGAACAGAGAGGGAGCCGTACTGCAAACAAGGTATCTAAATGGTGCGTCACTGGAAATTTACATTCCACACTGAAGGTTATATTGTTCATGTGTGAGAGCCTATGTGCTGATGTAATGGGAGTTCTTGTCCAGCTGGAGATCTGTGGGTGGTTCTGCGGCTGGTGTGACCGAGTCTCTTGCAAAGTGGAGGCTCTGTCACCACCACCCTTCCATGCTGTCTACTCTGTCCTGTTCTCCCACTGAGTCAGTAGCTGTCTTTGGCTTTCAAGGAGACTCCTTTTCTGAATCCATTTCTTGGTTGTCTTACAAGCTAAGAATGGGAGAGAAAAACTAAATGTGTTAGGTCCAGTAGGGGCCTCTTCAGCCTTCTTAAGGAGTGCAAATAATGGGCTCATTTAAACCTTTTTATATAAAACTGAGTATAGATTCTAGTAAGGCCAACAAAGAGGACCTCAGATGAAGTGAGGTCGTGAGGATTCAGCTGCCAAATATTTAATATTTCATATAAGCGATTTTATTTATATCTGGGGAAACCTAGCACGCATCTACCTGACCCTCTTTTATCTCCTTCACACCTGGACACTGTGGCTCCTGTCTGTATCCTCTGCCAGTGAGGTCTATTCGTTCCTTTTCCTTTATTCAGGTTTCCATACTTGTGGCATCTCCACAGTTTCTTCCCATCTGGGTAGAATTAATTACTCTCCCTTCACACCATCTAATTATTAGAGCACATCATTTTTGGACTTGCCAGGCTATATTATGGTGTATAGTTTAAGAAACTTTTGTCTCTTCCACTCAGACCGTGAGCTTTTTAAGAACAAGGAGGAGGAGGCCAAGTGTGGTAGCTCATGCCTATCATCCCAGCACTGGGAACCCTGAGGCAGCAGGATTGCCACAGGTCCCAGGCTAGCCTGGGCTGTATTGTGAGTTTGAGGGCAGCCTGAACTACATAGGCAGACTCTGTCTCAAAAACACCAAAAATAAAAAACGAGATTGCAATGCCTGGTACCCAGCAGAGTGCCGGAACTGGTGCACATTAAAAATGGCACAGAGCTCTAGGACTCTGCTTTCACTGATGTCATCATGCCCATAGCTCAGAATCCACCATGGTTAGGATATCGACGGCAGAAATCAGTAAACCTCACAATGGAAGCCTTTCCTTCTCAGGTCAGTTGTTAAAATTAATCAGCTGACACTGTCAGCATCCTTCACTACAGAAGATACTAAGAAACCTGGAATTGGGCTCAGCTGACATAGAAAAGGGAGTTTGCCTTCTTTCCAGGCGTCTCACCATTTAATTTGCAATGTTATTATTAGTGGAATCACCGGGAGTGCTGATACTTATTGCAGGTTGTTATTGCTGCACGCTATTAACAGTGAGTATTGTTAATTGGTACCATTGACTAACCACATGAACATCTTTTTTGTTTTTTTGATATCTGACCTCCAGGGTGGAGTTTTAGTAAAAATTACAGAAACGTGTCCTCCTTTGAACTGCTCAGAGAAGGACCACATTCTTCTGGAGAATCAGTGCTGCAGAGTCTGTCGAGGTAAATGGGCTTGGTAGGGTGTAGAGGGCTGTGTTTGGAATAGGACTGTGGTGGCCTTTGTGTGTGTGTGTGTGTGTGTGTGTGTGTGTGTGTGTGTGTGTGTGTTGTGTGTTTAATGAATAGTATGATGGGTAAAAAGCACACACTCCAGGCTCTGCTCTGTTGCTTAGAAATTTCTATTTCTTCTTTATTTTTCTCATAGTCTCTACATTTGCAAAATGAGTACAATATCTGCTTCCTAAGAGTGCTGTGAATTTTAAACAGGATAATGCATAAGCACCTAGCCTAATGCCCAGCATATGGTAAGTGTCCAATAAATAATTGCGGCTACAATAATGCTAATGATGGTTCCTATAATAATAACCATCCCCATCATTATTCCAATTTCCTCATGAGTCGGTTGAGGAGTATTTTTTTCAGCCTGGTTCATGGACCAGTTCCCTGGTCTCACAGAAAATACAACAATTGATTTGTGTGCACTTTTTTTTTTACTTCTTCGAATGAAAACAGACTGAAATGAGTAACAAAGTTTGCTAATTAATTCTTAGGTATAAATTGCTTTGCTCCTTCTTCCTGGAATTCCATTTTCCCCCAAATACATTCTTATTTCTTCAGCTCACATATTTTTTTTTCTCTCTCTGAAATTCTTACCTGGGCAGATTAGATGGATAAGGAGAACCTAGAATTTATTCAGAGTTCTAAAATTGAGTCCCCACTGAAACTGATAGCTGTCATTTTAAAAACAGTATCTACTCCCACTACTTCACATTCTCAAGTCTCTAGTTAGATCTGTGTCACCAGAATTTCCACCCTTCTAAAATTAAGGACCGAAAAACCTTGTGGTTTGTTTCAGGTAACCTCATCTTTTTCATTTTTCTGTCTTTTCTGTAGCACAAGAGTTGGTAAAAGTGGTCATGTTAGCTTTTGTAGACCAGCAGATTTCTATTACAGCTATTAAATTCTATGCTATGCAGGAAAGCAGCATAGATCATAGGTATACGAAGAGCTGTGTCTGTGTGTCAGTAAAATTTTATTTACCATAATAAGTGGTAGCTCCTGACCTGCTGACCACTCCCCTCGCACATTTTGATATATAAAAATGTTTTGTTTTTCATCACGGTGTGCTTTTATTTCAGACTGTGACTTCTGGCTGTGGTTGGTCATGAGAGATCTATGTTTTAGTGAAATTCTGAGGAAATTGTGGTACCCTAAGAATCAGGGATATACCAACCGTGGCATCGGAGTTTGCCCTAATGTATCTGCTTTTATGACTACAAGTGTATTTTGAGCTTGGACACTTTGGCAATACTTAAACACTGAGTGGAATTTTCAGAGGGATGAAACTATTTTTAACCAATAAGGGTATCAGGTGGGCCATATCATTTAATGCAAAATCCATCATTTGCTCGTTGTTGAGGTGTCAAGTGTGACTCAGCTTATGCCAATCCCTTCTGATTTATGGCTTCATTAGAGCAGGATCATTGATTAGGCCACAGAAATTCAAGAGGAAGTCATTACTCTAACCCAGTTTACAATAGAGTAGGTGCCCCTGCTTGTTCTAGTATTTGTCCTGCCCTTCTTTATCAGTAGAGATGTTGAGAGAGGTCACACCTCACTGGAAGGCAGACTCCCATTCCCAGCACTCTAGGGGCTTTTACCAAACCTGACTCTGCTACAGGAAAGTGAGAGCAAGGAGTGAGGCTCTTCAGACTTGGTCTCGGCCATTTGCGAAACTCGGGATATTTTTTCTTCTCCTTCATGTGTGTTTTGTTCCATCCCAACCAACCAGGAAAGCCTTTTTTTTGGAAGCTGTTGGTTTTCTCTGGAGATTCCTGAGGGATAAGTGAGTTTCTGCAGTCCTCTCTGACAACTCCACATTTTGACAGGAACTAAAATGTGTCTTTTTGGAAAAATACGGCAGAGAGGAATTTCTTGCAGGAAGTCGGATGAATTAAAACTTTCAGGCCTATGGGTTCTCTTTTGTTTCCCTCCCATCTCAGAATTCACTGGAATGAAGAATTATTTTTCATGAAGGTCCTCATTAGCAGCGTTTACCCTGGTTACTTCCTTCTTCCTTGTTGACCATAGCAGAGAAGGTACCCAGGCTCCCTGTGCACTTCTGTGTGTGCATCGGCACTCAGAAAATGAGAGGCATATTCATGTGGGCAGTCAGCATCTCTTTTATGTAAACCCTACCATTTCAATAACAACAAAACATCAATCCAGTGGAGCTCAAAGTCCTGTTGTCCTCCACTGTGTGTGCAATGAACTTCAATTCATTTCCTTCCATTCCAATTTATCTTCTAAGAACTTCTCTAAGGTAACATAGTAGACTCTGTCACATAATGGTTTCTGTGAGAAATCTTTTGTCCCTCTGGTTCCTATTGGCCTCTTCCCTTTTTACTCACTTTCATGTTTTCTGAGTGGGTTCTTGCAGAGAAGAAGGGGCCGAACAGTTACTGTTCTGCCAAGATTTGCAAAGCCCAGGGACTTCTTTCAGGATAAATTATTCAGCTTTTCTTGCCCCTCATCCTTCCCCCCTATCTAAAACACTAAGTAATGGAAAGGTGAGAAACACCTGATTTCTATGTAACACAATTTTTACCCTGTGCATGGAGAGGCTGTGTCATTGGCTGGCACTGTCCATGGATTGGCAGGCAGCAAGTGAAGAGAGAGGCAGGAGTTGGATGAGATCAAGTGCGTATTTCAGGGTGAACACTAGGATGTGGTGTGATGCGGCCATGTGACTTCTGCCACTCTCACTTCAGTGATACCAGAAACCAGAGTGTCCCTGGCCCTTTCAGAACTCACACAGAAGACCTTACAATTGACATATTAAACCCCCCTGCATCTATTAATCAGTTTGAAAGAAATTATCCTTTGAGAATATCATTCCTCAGAAGTTAAAGTTAAAAAGCATTATGAAGAGTGTAACTTTTAAATTTTATTATATGGGTAATTTTTTATTGAGTAACGTATGTATGTTCAGAGTTTTCCAGGGTTTACAGCTCTGTTGAGCTGCCTCACCTGGGTGGTTTATTTCTCTGTCCCCAAGTTGCTGATGACATAAAGCTGAAAAATCAACATCCCATTTAATGATTATATTATAAATCAGTGTTTTAAATGCAGGAGATAAGTAAGTGATGGAGATGTCTTCCTGTCAGAGAGAGCGTCTTTGTGGCTGTTTGTGGTCCTGGGGACTAAACACAGCGTTTCACGCTCACTTGGCAATTGTTGGGTCACTGAGCTACACTCTCAGTCCTTCATGTCCTTGTCATGTCAGTGACTTAGATGGGATGTTTTAATCAAGTCTGTATATTTTGTATATGAAATATTGTTCATTTTGCTCAGTTGTAACTAGTTTCCTCAGGTTATAACTTGTTAGTTGTATTATGCAGGCAATTTTTAAATGAGTAATATGTGTATGTTTATGTAGTTACTGCCCTCTACCCACTGACTAATCAAGATGAACGGTGAAGACTATGATTTTACATTAACCATTTTCTTTGTGGGAGTTAAATCTGAGGGCTTTGCGTTATAAGAACTGGTATCAAGACCAGAGCCTCATGGACATTCACTCTCCAAATTTTGCAAATGCTGTGACAAACACCTCTCTTCTTTTGACGTAGATGAAGGCAATCAGCAGAGCAGACATTTAATCCATAGGGTTGTCGGTGCATCTAGGAGGCCCAGGGAGAGAATTGCAGAGCAGTGTCGGCTGGCACAGGGAGAGGGGGGAAAGGCAGTGGACACTGGTGGAAGAGACCACTTAACCACTGCTGGGGCTCGGTTCTCAGTCACTGGCCACAGGATGTGCAGCAGCCCTCAGCATGGCCGCAGCTTCCCCTGATGTCTCAGCACACTTTGTGCTGGCAGCATGAAATTTGTTTACCCCCCTCATTACTTTGAGGTAACAGCCATAGCTGGAGCCTGCCCACTTTTAGTGTGAGGCCATTAGATGGAGAACAGGAGAGGGTGCTGGAGCGACATCTCTGCTGCTTCCTGGAAAGAAGCAGGAAAGGCCTGAATTAGACCTAACAGATAAAAAGATTGAATTTCTGGATTTCATGAATTTCTGGTCCTCTCAGTTAAAGGTTGGAAAGGAAAACAAGAAACAAAGCCGAGGACATTGATCATGCATCTCAATACTGCTCCAGGAAAACACACCAAACATGTAGCTCATTCCAAAATTTTCCGACATTTTGTTCCCTCCACCACCAGCTCTAATTGCATTTTCAGGGTCGCTGATGACTTTGGAGGGTTTTGCTGCATGTTTATGACTTCCAGTGTTGGAGAAAAATGTTCTTTCCGACATCTGTTCCAAATGTGCTCATCTGTAATTTTAATTCATGCTCACTTGTCTTGTCATCTGGCCTGAACTTAGTTGGGATTATTTGTACTATTTGAGATTTTATGTGTTTCCATTAAATTCTCCCACAATCTTAGCATCCCACAATGCCTCTCTCCAGGTCTTCCCTATCATTTTAGGTGAATTTATAAATGACATGGTTTTAGAGAGAAGATTTCAGGATATTTGAGGTGAACAGAGACCTGGAATAGTGACACTTAAAGAGAATGTAAGCTGGTGTGATAGTAGAGGGCCTGGCAGTGTATAGACAGGTCAGGTCCTCTGCGTATTGAAAGATGGGGTGGGATCTGATCAAAACCCCTGAAGCATGAGCTAAAGTGGCTTGGGAAGACAGTGCCTGTGCTGAAGCTGGGAGCAGAGGGCATCTGAAGGAGAGGCTGGGCTCAGGGAACACAGCAGTTCCATGACCCAAAAGTGACATAATGGACTTGAATCTGGGAAGTTCCCAGAATGAAGAACATAGCTCCATAAAGACCAAAATCTAAACTAGGCTGTCCTTCCAGGTAAGAGCTCAGGTGCCTCCAGCATATGTATGTTAGTTGTGGAATGCATAATGGAATTAAATTCTCAAAAAGAATGTTTGAGCTGTATCCTCCCTGAACAATCCAGGGGAAGAGAATGTCCATGTAGGTAAAGTGCCTGACCTGCTGGTCACACTGTGCACAGGAGACTGAGGGCAGGGAATGGTAGTCTATCTGGAGTTGACTTGAACTATCTCTGCGCTGTTCAGTCTTCCTAGGAGAAGTAGCCTGTGCATTCTTCATTGGGGAAGAAGTCACAGGAGTAAATCCTGCATGTGCATGCCCACCATTGGCTGCAGAATGCAAAGATGAGCCAAAATAAATGTATACCTTTTCCATAGTTATACAGTGTGAAGAGGGCTCTGAAGAGCAGCAGTGTAGGATTCTTCGTTGTTATAGGCAGGGCTGGATA